ATTTCGATCTTACAGTTTCTAGGAGGGTCAGGCATTGAGACGCCGGATGATGTTTCATCCCCTGCGTGGTTTAACATAACGGAGACGCAAGACAAGGAATCAGATCTCGTGATTAGATCCTCTATATAGATATATATGTTGAATGAATATAAACAAACAATTTCGATCTTACAGTTTCTAGGAGGGTCAGGCATTGAGACGCCGGATGATGTTTCATCCCCTGCGTGGTTTAACATAACGGAGACGCAAGACAAGGAATCAGATCTCGTGATTAGATCCTCTATATAGATATATATGTTGAATGAATATAAACAAACAATTTCGATCTTACAGTTTCTAGTAGGGTTAGGCATTGAGGCGCCGGATGATGATTCTCAACTTGCCCGATGATAGGCACTTAGGGTTACATCTATCTCTCTATATATATATACTAATAAAGCCAGAGAGCATCTTATTGGGCTGACTGGGCCTAGAAGATATATCAAATAAGTCTCAGTTGAGATGATGGGACAAACCTTATCCTCCAACATTTCCAAATAAACCTGCTTCATTTCATCGACCAATCCAAATCTAGCCAACGAATTCAACAATGTGTTGTATACTTAAGCTCAAAGCTTTCGTCTTTATTCATCTTCCTACACAAATCCAAAAACAAACAAAGCGTCTGCCACTGATGAATCACAGCTCTTAATCATCCATAACCTGATCTTAAACACAACACCCACATATCCATTGTTGACGAGAAGAGTAAGAAGGGATGCGTACACTGTGATTGAATCTCGGATTCGGTGAGATCCAGTGAGAAAAAATTAGGAGCTGTTTTGGGATCTAGATCGAGCGAGAACAGTGAGGAGACGTGGGAAGGGCTTATCGCAGGAACCATAGATTTCAAGGACGGAGATATAGAGAGAATTGAGAGCAGACGGTGTGGATCAGATTCTTCCTCCGGAAGATTGAGAATTAGCGGAGACACGGAGCAAAACTGCCGGCGAGTGAACGGAGAAGGAACCGTAACATCCGTCGAAAATTTCTTCTTCAGGAATTCGACGGCGGAGATTGAACCAGTCAAACCGGAGTTACACCGTGGTTGTATTCGACGGACCATCGATGATCCGTGGCGTTTTGGATCTCTCCGATGACGAAAACACAGAGAAGAGAAGAAGGAGGAAACATTTTCCAGGTTCTAATGGGCCTAAATGAGCCTTAATGGGCTATTATATGTACAGGTTCTCACTCACCTTAATGGGCTGTCATATGTTCCATTTCAACGCTTTAATGGGCCGATATGAGGTAGGCGATGATCGGAGAAAATGCGCCGGCGATGAGAAGAGATTATATCGGCGGATTGATCGGATTTTTCAGCTTCTTTGCTACCAAAACCTGTTCGCCGGAATCTTCTATCCATAGTCAGTTAAGGTTTCTCAGCATCACTTGTGACTCCGTACGCATAACTTTCCCTCCGCTTCTCAGACAATGCATGGACGAAAGATCGATATCAGCACTCAAGAAGATCCAAGCCCAGATGCTGAAATCTGCTAATTCCGGCCGAACTTTCCGGACTCACGCGAGTTTAAAGTGTGGCGAGATCGGTTACGCACGCCAGATGTTCGATGGAATGTCTGAGAGACATATCGTAACATGGAACTCTCTTATTGCTTATTTCATTGAGCACAGAAGAAGCAAGGAAGCTGCTGAGATGTATAGATTGATGATCACGAATAATGTTTTGCCAGATGAGTACACGTTGTCCAGTGTTTTCAAGGCGTTTTCAGATTTGAGTCTCTTGAGAAGGAGGCACAGAGGAGCCACGGACTTGCTGTGATTTTGGGTTTGGTAAAACAAGGGAGGCGAAGTTAGTATTGGACCGCGTGGCAGAGAAAGATGTAGTTTTGATCACAGCTTTGATCCTTGGTTACTCGCACAAGGGTGAAGATACTGAAGCTGTGAAGGCATTTCAAAGTATGTTAGGTGGAGGAATTTCAGCCTAACGAGTATACTTCCGCTATTGTATTGTAATCTTGTGGAAACTTAAAGGATATAGGTAATGGCAAGTTGATTCATGGACTTATGGTCAAGTCTGGTTTTTGAGTCTGCGCTTCTCTTCTTACAATGTATTTGAGGTGCAGTTTAGTCGATGATTCCTTGCGAGTTCTCAAGGGTTTCAGGTACCCAAATCAGGTAACTTGGACGTCCCTTCTATCAGGGCTTGCCCAAAACGGTAGAGAAGAGATGGCTCTAATCGAATTTAGAAAAATGATGCGCGGTTCAGTCAAACCCAACTCTTTTACATTGTCAAGTGCTCTCAGGGGGTGTTCGAATCTCACAATGTTTGAACAAGGCAGACAGATATTCATGGTAAATCTGGTTTTGATAGAGATATAAGTATGTCGGATCAGGGCTCATTGATTTATATGGGAAAACGTGGATGCTCAGACATGGCAAGGTTGGGTTTTTTGACAACTTGAGTGAAGTTGCTGTTATATCTTTGAGCACAATGGTCTACTGTTATGCACAGAACGGTTTTGGACGCAAAGCACTTGCGTTGTTTGAGATAATGATAAATCTTGGACTACAGCCTAACGATGTAACAGTCTTGAGCGTACTCTTGGCTTGTAATAACTCTGGAGAGGAAGGTTGCGAATTCTTTGACTCCTTCAGAAAGGATAAGATCACTATTGAATTGGAATACAAGCGTGGCGAGATCGGCAATGTCTCCGGAATCCCTGAGGAGCATCTTTCCCGGAAGGTTAATAAGCATTCGATTTCTTCATTTCTTATGAATTCAGTTTAGAAAATTAGGGTTGGAGAATCCTCTTAATTGAGCTACATCGTGTTCTTGATTTGATTTTTGTCAATCGAATCGCCTTAGATATTGAATTGGAATTTACAGGTGATAATATACTCACCTGCTAGAACAGCTACCCAGCAAGGATCTGGAAAACTTGGAAAATGGAAGATAAACTTCGTCTCCACCTTAAAGTAGGCAACTTTTTTCATTCAACGTAACCTCCTTAGTTTCTTAGTTTTATCTTTTTGATTAAGATAATACTCTTTTGGCTAACATTTCATGTCCTCTTTGATCCTAATATGTGTCTTAAAGTTCATTCAACCTCCCTAGTTTCTTAGTTTTATCTTTTTGATTAAGATAATCCTCTTTTGGCTCACATTTTATGTCCTCTTTGATCCTAATATGAGTCTTATCATCCTTAATGTCTTATCTTTGCAAAATACTAAAGTCTTCTGCTTGTGAGTACTAGTCCATCACTTGTTGACATCATTTCTCTATGGCATTGACATGTTTGTAGGTGGGAGAATCCGTTGATGGGGTGGACTTCTTCTACAGGTGAACCCTATGCAAATGTTGGTGACTCTGCTCTTGCTTTTGATTCTGAAGAAGCTGCTAAGTGTTTTTTGCTTTTTTTTATTTTTTATTTATTTATTCTGGTCGCAATTCGTATTTTATGAGAATGTGATGGTTCTGTTTTTAAGTTCCCTTGATATAGAAATTCAGAAAAACTGAAAATTGTTTATAAACCGACGGGTCTCATTACTTAGGATATGGACTAAAACCGTATTTGGTGTACCCGATATCCTCTTTATGTTCGTAACTAATATTAATGACTAATATATCCTCTTTAATTATTTTTACCACTAATTCGTTTTGGAAGTGTATTTTGTGGTGTTATAGTGCAAAGTCGAAAAATTGGATGGTGACAACGAGGTTCTAGATTATATATGTGTAGATCAGTCACAATGTTTGTTTATTCTGCAATGTGGATGGTAAAAACATTATAAAAAAGAAGGCAGTTGCTTCTGGAGTGTATATGTTCTTTCGATCCAATGTTTTAGAAACAGGATGGAGAAATCATTTTGTCAAAGAAGGAGTAACCAAGTTCCATAGTCTGATTATTAACAAGGCACTTTAGTTTTTGTTTTAACCAGAAACCAGCGTGCCTTGCACTCCGACAGGCTATGCTTTTGGCTATGTATATGGTAGAGTGGTGAGTTATTTTTCTTTTTCCGCTCTGTCTGTTTCACGATATTCTGATTATATGGTTCTGTTTTACACCACCTTCAGTGACCTCAATTTTGCTCCTTCTGTTTTCTTGTAGGTGGGGATTGTTCTTCCTTGGCGTGCAGCATTTTGGGGACAAGCAATACTTATGCTTCCTTTTGCTGTTCTATGTTTTGTTATCAAACCCTTGCATTTGAATGGTGTGTTTCCGAAGTTGCAAACACACACACACACACACACACCCTACATCCTGCTGGACTCTAGCTATTTATAATGAATGATGTGCTTTCAGGTTTCGCTCCAGATGATACAGGGAAAACCCGGACAGACAGCTTAAACGTTTTGCCAACTGGCTATGGGTTCTCATCTGTCATGAACGAGGTGAAAATGCTTTTTGTAGATAAGGTTTATATTACAAACGTTATTGGTAACCATTTTTTTCTTCCCGTGTGTAAGCATTCGTGTCTTATTAGTCTTACTGTATTTGACTTATTGAGTTGAAGATACTTTGGTAGTTGGCTTAACAGGGACTTGGGTCATAATGTTGTGTTTTTGGTGAAACAGTAACGGATGGAAATGTTTTAAAACCTTTTAATTGGTATGGTTATGACTCCACATTTACTTCATACATGTTCATTTGTGTAATTGCAATTCAAGTATCAATACCAATTCAATCTGTTAACATAATTTATGACTCCTGATGATACCTGTCAGATTTTGAAGCTGAGTTATGAAGCAAAATCTTTTCGAGATGCTCAGTGAGCTCACAGTAGACTCTTGCTTTGTGGTAAAAGAGTTGATACAACCTGATCGATAAGCTGCCTAGCAGACGGCATTGAGTGCCCCCAAACGATCTCAAACATTGATCAGCGTCAGCAAGTTGAGACAAGCTCCACTTGTATTGTTTGGACAGTTTTTGCAGTAGCCGCAATGTACTTAAAAGTGAATCTCAAGACCAACACCTCCCATCGAGCAATTTACCATATAGTCAACTACAACCCTTGTACCCATTTTGCTTTCACCACATCAGTTCACATATTTTATAAAACTACATCAGAATAACCAAACTACACACAGAAAAGGCGTGTCCATAGTGCATCATTGTAACATAAAACAAAACATCACAAATACATTAGTCTCCTCTTCAGGTTTGCTTACAGTTACAGTAACAGTAACTGCTTATTGTGAGCTTCCGACTCCATCTGATGATATAGGCTTCCACCGCTTATCGTGAGCTTCCGACTCCCATCTGAGGAAGAAGGCTATGCCAAAGCCATGATGAGCTTTCAGTAAAAGGTATATGTTCTGTAGGAACTGCTAAGAGAACATTGTAACCTCTCCCATGCAAACTTCGAAGAACACGGACAGTCAACTTTTCTTTCAAGTTATTTGAGAGTACAATCAAATTGGATTCTATAGGACTGTCCACAGCCCACCGAAGAATGTCCACTAACATCTTATGATCTCTAGCATATCCATACGCCTCAGCAACTATATATTTATCAACGGAGATCTAGATTAGATTACTATATATAGAAGATAAGAGAGGGATTAGGTAAAAGGAATTCACTCACCTTCGGGTACGAAATTGATACTGATTCCCGCAGCCTCACATGTATCAATAAACTTTTGTTTCTTCCTATTTTTCTCATCTTCGTACAACCATATTGACACACGATCCTTACAATGAAAACCCTTATCCTTAAGAGCTGATTTGATATTGATAGAGATCAAATGAGGATCAGGTATAAAAATTGGGAAATCCACCACGTCCCAGAACACACCTACGTTACCCTCTGCCACGGAGACCATGGAATCAAAAATAAAAGCAATCCATTAAAATTTTACTATGACAGACCAAACGAAATCTTTAATCAAATATATTTAGCGAGAACTTTGGATATAGCGAGATCTTACTGGCGTATATCTCGGCCAATCCCGAGCGAGCCAAGGTTCGGCCGGAAGACATGTTTTCGTCGGCAGACATGGTTTCCGCGGCGAGCGAGAACTTTGGATACTTCTCCGACCAAACGAAACAAAGTAAACTTCGTGACCTAGTAGCCGAATGTGGCTGCGGATCAGAATCTTTGTTTATTAGGGTTAGGTCTGGAGTATTTTATTCGGCTGGGCTTTGCAGATATCTATTAGGCCCAGTTGTCCTAATCAATTGCAGCCTAAATTATAGTATTTCTTTGACCAACCGCTTGGTTTCGTACCCAAAAAAACTTTTGAAAACTAGTGAAGTAACGACTTCGAGAACAAACAGAAAAAGAAAAAAAAAAAGGTACCGTAAATCATCTATTGTATTTAAGGATCTTATCTTACAGAAGGAAAATTTGTTTTACGACTCCATCGAAAATAAGTAAAGTTAGGTGTCACGAATAAAAAGATGGTTTATTGGTGTCACGAATACAAATAAATAAATAAGAAAGCAAGTAAATCGTAAAGTAAACCAATAGATACAAAGGATCACATGCCGTTCAATGATTTTTTTTATCTAAGTAATCCTAAGAGAATCTTTGTTTACTTCCAAGTCTCAGATATACGAAAAACGAATGATCGATTAACTCTATGGTATAAAATTAAACTTCTAAAATCCTTATACTCCGTTACTCAACTTACGCAGGCAACGACGCATACTCCGTCGATTTAGGGGTTTTAGGTTAAAACTCGGTGAGTACATGGACGAGGAGCACAAGAACGAGGAGCTCTGACCGGTCTTTGGAGAAGGCTTCATACCGGCCACGTGGGTGTTGGCCGGTCCCAAGGTTCAGCTTCCCACCGGTCACAAGGAGTCCGGTACATTCAAGCATGCACGAAAAGCAACCGTTGATCGTAATGAACTGGATTCTACTTTGCCGTGAATCTTGACTCTTCTAGATTTCCATAGAGTCCAAGATCTCTCAAATCGGTGTATGGGAAGGTCTCAAACAGATGCCAAATTTCTAGAGCTTCAAATCTATCATGAAGCGTGCTTTTGTGAGAAATATAGCAAATTGCGGATTAAGTTACTCAATGAATCTGAACAGACAATGCAAACGAAATGTGGTTATATAAAATGAACTTTAGAGATTCTACTCAAACCCAATGATTCTCTTTAATACTGGAAACAAGCCAGAAAAACGAAGACGGTCATAGTAGATGATGAAGCACAAAGTTAATGTTGGGGCAGTGATATGTTTAATTTGCTTCTTTTAAAATCATTTAATAGTAGAGACAACATGTTGTGAAAGGGACGACTAATGAAGAAGAAAAACCCAAACAAAGTCATTTTTTTTTTTCCTTTTAGATTGAAATTAGAAAAAGGATGGTTTGACGACCCAATAAAATTGAAAATGGGACCATAAACTTGTCATCTTCACATCACTCTGTTTCTTTCTGAGTCCGACCATCATGGACATAAAACATGGTCCAATTAATTTGATACATTCCCCATAACTTATCTCTCTGAGCTACTGAGTTAGTTTGATCACTTTATTGATACTTGAAAAATGTATTTTTGTATAATGAAATCAGAGAGAACCAGAGAGGAAACAATGTTCTGATCGAGTATTACGGCGAAATTAAAGAAGGCAAAAAACTTATTGTCGAGTGTGCCAATGAGGATGAATTTGCCGTTGGGAGAGAACTTAACAAAGGAAACAGGAGGATTCTCATCGTCAATTAAGGTCTTCACATAATGCCCAGTTCCAGAATCCCAAATCCGACACAACCCATCGTAGCTGCTTGAAACAATCAGAGACCCGTCACGATTGAAATCAACACAAGTCACAGGAACAGAATGCGCAGGAAGAACTTTCAAGCATTTGCCAGATTTAACATCCCAAATCCGAACAGTCTCATCAAAAGAACCAGAGACAATCATGTTGGATTGAGGATTGAAGTTAGCACAAAACACGTAATTAGAGTGTCCGATTAGCGTTTTGATCACAGAACCAGTTTCAACGTCCCATAGCTTAAGGGTTTTGTCATCGGAAGCTGAGGCGAGGAACCTCGCGTCGGAGGAGAAGGCTATATCCGATACACCGTTGTCGTGGCCGGAAAACTCGTGAACGGGCTTGGCGATGGAATCTTCTTGAGCAATGTCGATTGCGTAAGTGCGGATTGTTTTATCTCCGGAGGCGGAGGCTAAGAGACGGCCGTCGGTGGAGAATTTGACGGAGGAGACGGCATGGGAGTGGAAATTTAGGGTTTGGGAGTGAATGTAAGGTATAAAGCATCCACCTTTAACTTCCTCTGCCATGAGTATCCGAAAAAAGGTTTGATCTTTCCTCGGAATTCAAATCGTGATGTTTATCAGAAGGGCATCGAACCAGAAAAGAAACCACCCCACACCGTTGACGGAGAAGAAGATGCACTCACCTCTGCTTCCGATTTGCAAATCCGCGACCAGCAGTGAAGACCAAGCAAAACTGAACCCTAGATCTAAAAGAGAGAAGCGGCGAGAGAAAGAGAGAGTTTTTAAGAGGGGAACGATGGTACAATCTTCGTTTCTATGTATCTTTTTTTTTTGGACTTTTAGGTCTCTAGAATACAATGCATCTAGGAAAATTTATTCTCCTAAATCAAGCAGTAGAATCAATGATACCAAACACTCACAACACAAAATTTGAAGTAAAACGAAGAAAAAAAACTAGTCAAGCTTAAAATCGAAGAAAAAAACTAAAAAATCGCAGATCTAGTAAGTACTAACACATATTTACACACAAAAATCAAGCTCAAAGTTACAGAATTTGAAAAAAAAATCTATAAGAACAGAGAAAAAATAATTTTTTGCAAGAAGAAACAAACACTTGATAAAAATAAAAGCTGTTTTGCAGAAGAAAACTTTAAAGTTTCATATATTTTGCAGAAGAAGACACTGGGGAAGAGGAATAGCAAGAGAGATGTGCTTGGACCTAAGCTTGGGCGTTCGGTAATAACCGAGAGAACCAAGATTTTTGGTTTTCGGTTTGCATTCGGTTTTGAGCTGCGAACTGATTGACAATTTTCAATCTACTTCGGGTTGAGGTTCGGTTCGGTTTGGCTATTCGGTTCTCTCCCAGTCCGCCGAGAATATGACTCTGAATCCACCGAGAATCTGACTCGAACCACCTATATCATCCTTTCCGACGACATGATGTTGGCAATTAACGGAATCATTCTCAACACGTTGGTTATCTAAGATTCGTTGCTCAGATCCGCCATTGATAAGCGTTGAAGAAGACGAGAACCGAGATTGGGGAAGAGGAATAACAAGAGAGATGTGCTTGGACCTAGACTTGTACTGAAAGAACCGAGATTTTCGGGTTTTTGCCCATTATAAATTTGGCCTTTAAATGTTTTTTGTTACAAATAATCCGAATAAACCGATAAAAAAATATTTCGGTTAAATTTCGTAATAGATTTTAAAGCATGAAACCGAACCCAAAAAAACCGATTACCGAACCGAACAAAATCAAACTTTTATTCGGTTTAATTCGACGGGATTTTTAGAAAACCGGAAAAACCGAACCGAATAAACCGATTGCCCACAGCCACTTGGACCCATTAAAACGTAAAAACTCGTAGCCGAGATAAAAGAAAACGATTTAGTAAAATCATTAAAAAGAAAGTGGCAGAATTAAAAGTAAGCCGAGAAAGTTGCCCAGTTATTCAACGGCTCAGGTTTGATCTATAAAAAACTTGAACCGTCCGTAACTCATTGTCGGAATTGAGCCGTTGTTGATGTATTGTCGGATGTCGGATCTCTCCACTTTCTGACTGCAAAATCTTAAATTATTCCGATTATATCCCTCTGCCTAAAACCAAGTCGAATAAACCAAAACTTACAATGTGAATTAAATCTAGATTAAATTACTGTTTTATTATATTTTTAAGTTAATTTTTAGACTAAAGAACAAACCGAATTAAACGAAAATTTTTAAAATCCAATGCAAATTTTTGTCATGTTCCATCTTTTGAGCTCTCATCTTCGATTTCTCCATTGCTCTCGGAGCTGCAGCTGCAATATCACCAGTTCACCACATTGAATCATTAAGACATTTTGAATCAGAGAAGACAAGTGATCAAACATGAATTGTTGTCAGTTTAATTACGATTATATTTACATGTTAATTTGTTGTATTTACTCCCAAAAGAAGACAAGTGATCAAACATGAATTGAAATTTCTAAATCAGCTACAAGTAACTCACACCAACAAACCACTAATCTCATCATACACACTACTTGTAATGGGTTTTAGAGATAGTAGTTTACGTTGTATCTTAGGAGCAGAGAGAAGACAAGACTTTACCTAACCCAATAGCATCACATCCTTTCATTATCTTCAGCATCTTGCAGACATCAATAAACATCCTGTAATATACATCGGATCAGAAATCACTCAGGAGCGCTTATACCAATCATCATGATCTAATCTTCTATAGCATGTTAGATTTGATTCTAAGATATCTGGCAGAGAGTAGAGAAAGCTTCTAACAAGTTTTGAATATAAGAGAGGAAGCTTACTCCCATGGAACATCTCCAACAAGCATCCAGTCCCCATCCTTATCCTCATAAGTGAGCACATAGTCTTTTCCATTTAAAAAATCCTTAAGCTTGGTCTCACTAAGCATATCCTTCCCAGCAGCTCCATTAGATCCACATTGACCTAAACATGAAACAAACAGTGCAGGTTAACCACTTTGATTGCACTCATTCATTGATCCATAAAGAGAAAGAGGTTTGCAAACACATCACTAGCAATCACTGAAACATCTCACCTAGAGTGAGAGTGGTGAACATTTTCTCCAAGGCTGAAGAAAGCTCCCCGTAGTTAGCGTAGCTCCTCAGGTCAACTTTCCTCAGACAAGGAGCACCATCCATACTGACCTTTACGAACATGGCCCCAGGACCTGGTCTCCCATCAACTTCATCACTATTCTTACAAGTGGTGGCCAATGTGTTCTTCCTGTAGGATCTCACAGGAGGCCAACCCACAATTTGTGCCCTGAAAATTCCAGAATCCAAAAAGCTAACCATGAGAACACTGCAACATGAAGCTTCGGTTTTGGCTCGGCCATGGTCTGTCTCTTCCTTGAAACAAGACTATGACTGATTCTTTAAAATTCTTCCTCTTCTTCTTCAAGGGCCTTCTCTTCAAGCAAAAAGACATCTCATTTAAAGAATTTACATCTGTTGTGCCTTAATGAGTAAATAGTAAGAAGTAACCTAAAGATGTATCTTTTAAAGTTAAGCTAAACTCTAACACGACACTATCGACCCAAAATGAAACCATTAATGTTTCTACTATTCATCTAAAGCTATAAAAATTTCCTATGTCAAAGAGTAAGTCCTAGATGGCTAGATCAGAAACACAATGCCTTCCTAATGTCGTTTTGATTCAATTCACCTACATATGAATTCGGAAACAAGAGCAACCCCAAATCAAAATAACTTAACATTGTAAAGGTCAAGTCTTTGAAACTCACTCACCAGCTTATTGTCGAGTGTGCCAATGAGGATGAATTTGCCATTGGGAGAGAACTTAACGAAGGAAACAGGAGGATTCTCATCGTCAATTAAGGTCTTCACACAATGCCCAGTTCCAGAATCCCAAATCCGACACAACCCATCGTAGCTGCTTGACACAATCAAAGACCCGTCACGATTGAAATCAACACAAGTCACAGGAACAGAATGCGCAGGAAGAACTTTCAAGCATTTGCCAGATTTAACATCCCAAATCCGAACAGTCTCATCAAAAGAACCAGAGACAATCATGTTGGATTGAGGATTGAAGTTAGCACAAAACACGTAATTAGAGTGTCCGATTAGCGTTTTGATCACAGAACCAGTTTCAACGTCCCATAGCTTAAGGGTTTTGTCATCGGAAGCTGAGGCGAGGAACCTCGCGTCGGAGGAGAAGGCTATATCCGATACACCGTTGTCGTGGCCGGAAAACTCGTGAACGGGCTTGGCGATGGAATCTTCTTGAGCAATGTCGATTGCGTAAGTGCGGATTGTTTTATCTCCGGAGGCGGAGGCTAAGAGACGGCCGTCGGTGGAGAATTTGACGGAGGAGACGGCATGGGAGTGGAAATTTAGGGTTTGGGAGTGAATGTAAGGTATAAAGCATCCACCTTTAACTTCCTCTGCCATGAGTATCCGAAAAAAGGTTTGATCTTTCCTCGGAATTCAAATCGTGATGTTTATGAGGATTAGGTCGGCGACGTTGAGTTTCTGGAAACTGTTTTGTTTTTCTGGTTTAGTATACTACAAGATTTTGGGGTGAGTTTTGAAAGTACCAACAATATTGGGGTATATTTTGAAATAAAAATAATATATGGGTTACTTCCGCGTTTCCAGATAATTTCGGTGGCTTATATATGTCTTTTTAGAAGTTTTAGGGTGAGATTTGAAAGTAATGATAGCATATGGGTTGAATGGTAATAATTCTGGGGCTTTTTCGAGTTTCTATTTATTAAAGGTCCATTATTGTATTATTACCGGCTGTTTTCTATTTTGTCGTTCCCGGCAAATTTGGCTGAATTTTGCCGGCGACGATTCGAACTTTGCCAAGCGATGCAAGCAACGGCGAATCTTCCGGCGATATGGAACCTATCGCTGTGCGGGTCATCCTCTAAAGTCCATATAGTGAACCCTAGGCATCGAAAGTCTCACGCGCTTCACTGTTTGAGGTTGATTTCGAGTTTCGTCTCTTGAGGTTGATAGTAATATGGATGTAGTAGCATTTTACATGAAATCATTGCTTATCTAGAGTGAAACTTTTTCAATCTTTCTGGTTTATGTGGAAATTTGTGCTGCAAAATTTGATTTTGATTCTCTCTAATTGAACTGGATTCTTTTTTTGATTCCAGATCAGAAGGGCATGAAGAGTTTGATAATTCTCAGGTACCATTCTTTGGTTTTGAAGTATGCTTATCTTCTCTAACATTCTAGCAGAATGTAACTGGTTTATTTCACAGGATAATCTTGGACTATCTTCTATTACAAAAGAAGCAAAACATAAGGACATATGGAACCTCTTTAGAGAAGCTCAAAAAAGTAAAAATATTTGGTTTCTGTTTCATATTCTGAAAGTTAACTTACCCGATTGTATTATAACGTCTTTGTTGTGTATTTAGATATCCTTATTTTAAACAAGCAACGCCTAGCTGCAGTTGAGGAGTTAGAGAAGCTAAAGAATGAGAAAGATGAATTACTAGAGAGGATTAACCAATTGGAGGCAGAAAGTCAGATTGTAATCAAGAAAGGTTTCATTTTTCGGCTAGTCTCTAGTTTTCATGATTCAAAAATGTTCAAGTGAGTATTGTGATACTAGTCTTTTGAATCCTGAATCTGATCTTTTACCATGTTATAAGCAGATAAGTCGTCACTATTCTGGGAGTTGCTTCTCCGTATTGATTCTATGGTGATCAATGGTTTAATCAACATTGAAGAAGCTTCATCCTTGAGAAAACTGGTTAAGGAGCATGAAGCAAACATCTCTGAGTTTCCCCTCGATGTCCTGCAACAAGGAGATGCTGATATTCTAGCAGAACTCAGACTGTTCATAAATAAAGGCAAAAGGTGAAAATTCTGGTGTTCTTTATCTTCAAGCTTAATTCGGATTTATAATTTAATGTTTGTATTTATCATTTGAATCCAGGAATGGTCTCCATGTGATTCATATTTGCACCGAAATGGCTCCATTGGTTTCTGTTGGACCTTTGGCTTCTTATATAACAGGATTGTCGTCTGCACTCCAAGGAGAGGGCTACATGGTCGAAGTTATATTGCCAAAGTAGGAGGCAACTCCTTTAGAAAAATATTTACTTTATATTATCACCACCAACTTCAATTGTGAAGCAGAATCCTATTAATGAAAACCATATTCATTAATAGATATTCGACACTTGATTTGGATGAAATTGAAGGGCTCCGGGAAATTGAAGCTGATGCATATTCGTATTTCAATGGCCAGCTGCATGCAAACCGAATATGGAATGGGTGAGTGAGTTGTTGGAAGTTATTCTTCTTATACAGTTGATTTCTATCAGTGTTCGTAAGGGAAGAATCAGCAAAATACTGTCAAGCATTCCATTTTCTTTCTCAATTTACTGTAAGCAGAACCTTGTTTATGCAGAGTTGTCTCTGGAATAGGAGTGACACTTATTCAACCAGTGTATTACTCCTCAATGTTTAGCCGTGATAAAGTATACGGGTATCAGGACGATTTTGATAGGTCAGTACTTGAATTTGATATAGTTGAGCTTGAATCTACATTGTTTTACTGGTTTGGTTTATATGTGAGGTTTTTCAATCTCTTAACAAAATCAGATTTGCCTACTTCTCTCGTGCTTCATTGGATTACATTGCAAAATCTGGAAAGCAGCCTGATGTTTTACACATTCACAACTGGCAAACTGCAATAGTTGGACCGTTGTTTTGGGATGTTTTTGTTAATCAGGTAAAAACTTTCAGCATTTTAATATCCATCACGCGTAGTTATCTTATTGCCAACTCTTTACGAATTTTGTAGGGACTTGAAGGTACTAGAATACTCTTGACATGCCAAGACTTTGACAAGGCAAGCCACTTTGCTTTTCCCTTTATACTTATACACTCTACATTGGCAAAATTGATTAACAGCTGCCTGTGCTTGTGCTTATTAGGGTCTTGTACCTCCTGAAAAATTGGAGCTCTGTGGGCTCGATTCAGCTGAGCTTCACCGTCTTGATCGCTTACAAGATAACACTAATCCACATTTTGTTAACATTTTGAAGGTAACTGGAAGGCAAAAATAGAGGAGAATTATTATGTCCAAGTAACATTCTTGTTCTCACATTTCCTTTACTTAGGGCGGTGTTGTCTACTCCAACAAAGTCGTAATAATGTCATCTTCACATAGCTCAATCCCTGGTCTCGAACCAACTTTAGCTATCCACAAGTAAGTGACTGGTCACTTCAAGTTATCTCAATACATCAATCACGGTACAATAATTGAACTCTCTTCTCTTAAAATCTAGGGACAAGTTGTTTTTTGCTCCCTTTGGAGTGGACAACTCAATGGAGAAAGACTTTTGTTGTGACCTTCACGTCTCTGCATATACTTCCATTAAGAACCTATGAGATGATGAACAAGATGATTATTTATCATATTTTCACACAAATTAAAAAAAAAAAAAAAAACTATTGTGTCCATGTGTTTAGTGAGATTAGTTGTATAATTGTTTGATTTTCCAACTAACAATTTGGACTCCTGAATTAATTAAAAATATATTTTATGTTGTTAAGAAAAAAGGAAATTACACTTTTTTTTGTTTTTGGTCAAAGGAAAGATTATTGTACACCTTTTTCCATAATTCTGTTGATTAAAAAAGGAAAATAAGAAACCGTAATTAGAAGAAGATATTGTTTTGATTTTTGTTTTAAAGTGATAAAATAGAATTAAAATTCGGATAAATCTAGTTTTGAAATAACAGTTCGTTGCATAAGTAAGAGAATATACCCAAATCAAAACAGGAATCGGATTCAGAGCTTTCTCTCTCTGTATATGTCAAAAATTTTGTTCCTTTTTAGTAAAGAAAGACAGAGTGTTGAAATTGAATCTGACAGCGAAAGAGATAATGACGAAAGTTGGCCAGAGAGATTCTCCGGCTAAAGAAGAAGCTCCGCCGGCGACTAAAAAACGATTTTTGACGCCGGGAAGGTAAAAAAAATCAGCACTTTTGTTTATTTCTTTGGTGGGTTTTTGAAGTTGATGACGATTGTGATCTCTCTGGTTTGTGAAAACGATTTAAGCGTGGTTGTGTGAAAAAAACAAAATCTAAGAATTGGGTGAATTTAGATTTCCAAAAAGTAAGGCAAAGATTTCGTGATATGAAAACTTTTAGGGTTGTGTCATGTTTAGATAAGTAGCTAAAGACAAAACTGATTTGCCCTAGCTTTGTGGGTTTTGATTCTAACTCTTGAGGGCTTTTTATTTTGTAGATTCGTTACAATCTTGTGTATCATTAACTTGATAAATTACGTTGATCGAGGAGTGATCGCGAGTAATGGTGTTAATGGAAGCTCAAAAACATGCGACGCCAAAGGGGTTTGCTCTGCAGGAACTGGAATTCAGTAAGTTTTTTTTTGTTCTGAATTCTAATTTTTAGAATGATTATGTTTTGAGTTTTATGAGAAAGACTTAGACTTTGTGTGTCTGTTGATCCAGGGGAGAGTTTAAATTAACTAACTTTGAAGATGGTCTTTTGTCATCTGCGTTTATGGTTGGACTTCTTGTGGCTTCTCCAATATTTGCTGGATTGTCCAAAAGGTTAGATTTTTATAAAAAGAATCTTGGATTTGTGTTTCTTGTTTTTAGGTGTATACTTAAGAGACATTCTTTTGATTATCTCTGTCTTTCTATACTTGCTTGCAGAATCAATCCTTTTAAACTAATCGGTGTTGGATTAACCGTTTGGACTATCGCTGCTCTTGGTTGCGGGTTTTCCTACAACTTCTGGATGATTGCTGTTTTCCGAATGTGAGTAATTTATTTACAATTCCATGTTTTCGCCTTTTTCAATCCGGTTTCTGTATATTAACTAACAATCTTTTTTTTTAATAACTTGCATATAGGTTTGTTGGGGTTGGTGAGGCTTCCTTTATTAGTCTTGCAGCACCATATATCGATGATAGTGCTCCTGTTGCAAGGGTTAGTTTTCAGTTCAGTTACCGAAGCTTTTACCGTTTGTCGCTAGTTTACTCGCTTAACTAATTGTTCTTTTTTTTGTCTTTCTTTCCAGAAAAATTTCTGGCTTGGACTGTTCTACATGTGTATACCAGCAGGAGTTGCTCTAGGCTATGTGTTTGGTGGATTCGTAAGTTTATGCTAAACTCTTTTTATGGGTACACATTTTCTGCTTCTGAGGAAATATATGTTCATATTCTATTTGCTTTTCCTGTTCAGATTGGAAACCATTTAGGATGGCGTTGGGCGTTTTACATAGAGGCAATTGCAATGGCTGTCTTCGTCGTTTTGTCCTTCTGTATCAAACCACCGCAGCAGCTAAAAGGTGATACTAGATGCTTTTTAATCTTCATTGCATAATCCGCGTGCTAGAAGTTGTGCCAATTTTTGACTAAGATGTTCTTCTTTGTGTATAGGTTTTGCTGATAAAGATTCGAAGAAATCCTCTACATCTATTGAAACGGTCGCTCCTACGGATGCAGAAGCTTCACAAATTAAAACCAAAACCCCCAAGTAAGTTTCGCTTTCCTCTCTTCTTTGTTCCTGTCTATGCAAAAGTCAACTAATATACTAATATTCTCCTTTTTTTGGGCAGATCCAAGAACCTGGTTGTCCTATTTGGAAAAGACTTAAAGGCTCTTTTCAGCGAGAAAGTATTTATAGTAAACGTTCTTGGTTACATCACCTACAACTTTGTGATCGGAGCTTACTCATATTGGGGACCAAAAGCCGGTTTTGGTATCTACAAAATGAAAAATGCAGACATGATTTTTGGAGGACTTACAATCATCTGCGGAATAATTGGAACATTAGGTGGAAGCTATGTGCTTGATCGCATAAACGCCACTCTTTCAAACACGTTCAAGGTAATAAAGAATTCACTAAACACCTTTTACTTACCAATGAATTCTGCCTTTTTTCTGATTACCTCTTAATTGATCTTATACAGTTACTAGCTGCATCAACTTTACTCGGCGCAGCGTTTTGTTTCACTGCTTTCTTGATGAAGAATATGTATGCCTTCATCGGTTTATTCGCAGTGGGAGAAATTCTAATCTTTGCACCACAGGTAATATAATCAATCTCAAGAGTTTTGAGAAAAAGCTACTCTCTGTTTCTTTTTTTTCTGACTTGTTTGACCCGAATGACATTTGCTTTCTTGTGCAGGCTCCAGTTAACTTTGTTTGTCTCCATTGCGTTAGACCAAACTTGAGACCATTATCAATGGCTTCTTCAACTGTTTTGATCCATATCTTAGGCGATGTTCCTTCTTCTCCACTTTATGGGAAAATGCAGGTTTGTATTATCATTTAATGACATAAAAACAAATTAGTTTTACTTTTTAGGATTAGATTTCTATTAACTATCTCAATGTTTTTGCAGGATCATCTCAAAAATTGGAGAACATCAACTCTTATCATTACTTCAATCCTCTTCGTCGCAGCTATTATATGGGGAATTGGTAAGGACTCAATATTTTTATTTTTTTCATTCATCTCATAATCTTTCTGTATAGCTTAGTAAATTTGTTTGTTTTTGTAGGGATATTTATGAATAGTGTGGATCGGTCTAATGAAGTAAGTGAAGATGATGAGGTCGAAGAAGAGAAATTGGAAAGCAAAGCAGAGAACTCTACTCTCGTCTAATTTTTGAAGACAATCATTTTTTCTTCTACACGACCAAATAATTCTTAGTCCTTCCATTGTTTGATTGAACAACAATTCATTTGATTCATTTTCTTTTCCTTAGATTCTCTCAGTTCCTTTTGTGTACATAAACCTAATTTTTTAGAATAAATTTATTCTCTTTTTTCCTTCAGTCTTTTCTGATTTAATAGAGGTCTTGTATGTTGATTGGTGGAAAAAATTTCTTCTCGACCTTCATTAAGATTCAATAATTACAGGGATTATATTATTTATGTTCACTCTCTGTTTTTGTTAATAGTTAAATGGTTTGATTAGTTAACAAGTTCAAATATCTCCATACTTCAACATTCATGGAAGAAAGAAATAAAAGAATTGTTCTCATTTCAATTGGAAATAATCAGACAGATAAATCAAAGTGACACCAAACAAATTGGTGGTTTTTGACATTATTCGTATTACTTTAAATTACCGTTCTTACTGAAGTTTCTCATTTAAAAAATGGGGAAATTTGGGAAGAAAAAATAAATAGTATTGTCTTATTTTGGTTGGAGAAAAAGGTTTGTTTTTCATCATCATCTTCAATCACTTAGAAGTTAGGACCAGCTGCAAGAATCTCTTCAGTCAATTTTCCATCATCACCAATCTTATGACTTGTGAATGTCTCAAAATTGCTTTTAAACAAACCAGCCAGTTTCAACAATGTGTCCTCATAAGCCATTTTGTCTTCCCACTGCACCAAAACACACATAAACCAAACATGTCAAGTTTTTTTTTTAAAATGGATTATTCTATTTAGTGAATGTTTCTCTAACTTACGGCATTAATAGGTTCCAGTATCTCAGAAGGAACTCCTTCAACTTCATTTGGAATTTCCAAACCAAAAATATCTGTTTTTCGGTAAGATGCATTCAAGAGACTACCCGAATGTATAGCATCGATAATCTTTCGTGTGTACGCCAACTTGATTCTACTTCCAGATCCATAGCTGCAAAATTTATCACCAATCTTGTTAAAAAATCTCAATCTTTTTCTGTTTTGTTTTGCGGTTAATTATGATTGAGATTCCGAAGATGATTTACCTTCCACCGGACCATCCAGTGTTAACAAGCCAACCGGTGGCTCCTTGAGCCTGCATTTTCTCAGCCAACATAGCAGCATACTTGGTTGGGTGAAGCATAATGAAAGCAGCACCGAAACAAGCCGAGAATGTTGCTCGAGGTTCCTTAACTCCTTCCTCTGTTCCTGCAACCTGCAAAACCACATAATTCATTACGAGTCGATGACAAGAGAACCAAACTGAACCAAACCAAACCAAATCGGGACTTACGAGAGCAGTGTAGCCACTGATGAAATGGTACATAGTCTGAGCAAGATTGAGCTTGCTGATTGGTGGCAACACACCAAAGGCGTCACAAGCCAACAGGATCACGTTCTTCGGGTGTGGTCCAACGCACGGAATCTTCGAGTTCGGAATGTACTCAATCGGATAAGCTGCACGTGTGTTCTCCGTCACCGATTTGTCTGTGTAATCCACTTCTCGTGTATGCTCATCAAACACAACATTCTCCAAAACTGTCCCCAAAACCAAAACATAAAATGTTACGAAAATGTAAAATATATTTTCGAAAAAACATTTGTAAACAGAGTTTTGTTTAAAATTACCGGTTCCAAACTTGATAGCGTTCCAGATATCAGGCTCTTTCTCCCTTGCCAAATCAATGCATTTCGCGTAACAACCACCTTCGATATTCGAAACTCCAGTCTCACTCCAACAATGTTCATCATCTCCGATCAAATATCGGTTATGATCAGTCGACAATGTAGTCTTTCCGGTTCCAGAAAGTCCGAAAAAGAGAGCAACATCTCCATCTTTTCCCATGTTACAACCAGAGTGAAGTGACAAAATCTTTCTCTTAGGCATCAAATAATGCATCACACCAAAGAGTCCTTTCTTCATTTCTCCAGCATATTGTGTACCTAGAATCACCATCTCTCTTCTTCCTAGGTTTATGTCCACACTTGTGGAAGATGTCATGTAATGAGTGAAACGGTTACACGGGAATTTCCCCGCGTTATAAATCGTGAAATCGGGTGTCCCGAAATTCTCTAACTCCTCAGGTGTTGGACGGATACACATGTTGTGCATGAATAGTGAATGGTAAGCTCTTGCTGAAACAATTCTCACTTTGATTCTGTTCTCTGGATCCCAGTTTAGGTATTGATCATTCACAAACACCTGACAATATAAATTTTAAAAAAGTCTTTAATATATAGTCTATAAAATTCCACTACAATCTCATTTTGAATATTGTCTATGTCAAGTTACCTTGTCCAAGGAGTTTAAGTAATCAACAGCTCTCTCTCGGTTCACCAAAAAAGTTTGCTCATCCATTTCAATGTTTGGTGATCCTCTGTAACAAAAATATATAAATTATTTTTAAGAATTTTAAAAATAGAAAAACAAATACTAAATGGATATCACATTTGATGAATGTGTTATTATATATAATTCGGTTATCTTCATTTGTTGACATGTCATATATATATATATATATATATATATATATATATATATATATATATATATGTATGTTGTAGATAGAAAGTGACTCACTTCCCCCACCAGAGTTCGGCCTCAGTGGTCTCATCCTTAACCACACGCTTGTCTTTAGGAGACCGACCGGTTTTGGCTCCGGACAATGTAGCCAACGCACCGGTCGATGTCACAAACGATCCTTTCTCATACTTAATCGCCTGCTCGTACAACTCTGCAATCATATAAAATTCGAAAGGTGATGACAAAACATGTACACAACATCAAATTGGGCCCTTAATTTTAAACGGTGACGTTTTAGGGGGTGTTACCGGCTGGAGAGAGGTTGTGAAGGATGTGAGTGAACTTCAAGCCACTGTCGCTGACGTCAGCAGTCGGAAGTGACCTAGGAGTCACTGGCACGTGTGCCACTTTCGCTGCCGACGTTGGATCTCCTCTTATTAACTTCGGTCCCGTCTCTCTCGTCAACGAAGCCAACGATGCACTATCCAATATTTCACCAAATTATATAGCATTCGTAACATTTTTTTTTTTTGTATGATTGGTAACATGCAAAACTAAACAAAATTCAATCATACATTATGAGAAACCACTATATATGTCATACGCGATTTCACATGTTTAATCACCAAAATCAATTGCTTAAATCAAGATTTTGAGTAGTAACAATACATAATGGAAATTGGCCAAAAAAAAAAAAAAAAAATGTGACACTTTTTGTCATCAAAATTACGGAATTATGCAAATGCTAATCACATAAATCACGATTCCTTATAAGATTGTGATTTGTAAAAAAAAAAAGAAATCCAAAATTAGTAAACATAGATTGGCCTAATAACTTTTCTACATTCCCCATATATTAAAAAAAAAAAATGTATATATACCTGACGGATTGAAGCATGGTCTCGCTGGAGACCGGAGTGGTCGGACCACTAGTTCCGCTGACTCCGCTGGCGCTGCCATCTCTAAGAGGAGTGGTCGGGGCAGATCGTTTCCTCTGGAGACTGTGAAGCTCGTCGATGGTCTGAAAGTTGACCCGCGGTGCGGTGTCGTCGTGGCACACGTCTGTAGATTTGCCGCCCTTCTCTGTCGTGATCCTCGGAAGCGCATCACGCGCAGCAGCAGCCGAGAAACTGAAGTCTCCACCGGTATTTTCGTTTCCCTTTCCCGCCATTTCCACTAACTTGGGATTAAGATGAAACTACACAACTAACCCAAACACACGTATAAATAAATACACACTTAAATTTAAAGAGACGTATGAAGAACAATGTTAGTACCGAAATGTCGTCTTTCTTCTTTTGTTTTTGTGGAAGATAAAGAATATATAAATAGAAAAAACAAAAACCAAAATTGTCTGAAGGAGAGACTAATGGTTGTGATGAGAAGAAGATGGAGAATAAGCCGATTATATAGGCTTCCTTTTGACTCAGTAAATTACTCGTTTTAATTAGCCTGCCTAATCGTGTGTTTCCCTGTAATTAATTAGTGACTACCACGTAGAGTAACTCATATAGCAATGTAGGTAATAGTTTTTAGATAAAATATTAAATCCACTATGGTAATTAGATGACTAGACATTACGTTGATTTAGATACATTTGCAAATCTTATTAAGCATACTAATTAGGAAATTGCACATGGGTGTGGATCACTTATTCACTTTGTATAATACATGTTGTTATCCGATCACCGATGGATGAGATAATATGTGTATTCATGTCTTCACGTTTGCAATTAAGAAACAATTCCAATAACATTCAACTAATTATACAATCCGGTAATAGTTTTAAAATATGGTTGGATTTCAAGTGTATAATAAGAAACCATGTGTCATTTTCCAAAATCTTATCCGTTCAGCGTAGAACATACTTTTGAAAGCACGTTTTTTTTCCTAATCAAATTTGCGAACAGTTGTTTGACTTAAGTTGTATATTGTTCTTGTCATACAAACAAATTTTTTATTTATTGAACGGGTTAGTTAAAGAGAAACTAGATTAAAGACTATCAAATCATATTTCAATATAATTATATACTTCCTCTGTAAGGGCATCATCAATGGGGGATCATGTGAGGGTGTTCTTATAGAGAATATAATGTTAAAATAATGTAAGATCATGTGTTTAGATCTTTTGTTTAGAAGTTGATTAGTGGGAGAACATGTGTAAGATCTTAAGACTTAATAATATAATAATCTAAATTAAATTAAGATTTTACAATTATTAAAACATTTAAAAATAACATATAAATTGCAAATGCCAAATTTATGAAAAACTGAAAATAAAAGTGAAAATACAATACTAAATATTTATGAAAAAAACATTAAAAATATAAATAACAATAAACAAACAAACATATTACTTAATAAAAGCACAAAAACATTTTATCTAATTAATACATAGTTTATTATCCAAATTTATTCCAAATATGTTGAATATTCCAACCAATGCCCAAATGCCACGTCACCCCGCAACACCCACAAAAACAGATCCAGGTCAAGAGCCCAGTTCCTGATCTTAAGCCCATTGACCCATTTTTTTGGATTTAAATAATGCTTAGATCAGGGGGGTGATCCTCTAATGCAGATGGTCTAAGGAAATTGAAATTTTAAATAGATAC